ATTTTCCTGGTACTGCAGCGAATTTTGCAAATTGGCCAACTGATCAGCAATACAGTCCACTTCATGTTGCGCAGATATCCTCCTGCTCGTTTCCTGCTCGAAATCTGAGGCGAGTTGTTCAATCTGCAAATTCGAACTAAAAACTGTTCCATTGCTAATGGCTGGCCAAACAGAATGCATCTACAGCTCCTCACTGTGAAGAGAAGCTGGGGCAATCATTCCTAGTTATAGTAGCATCGTTACGCAGTGCTCTGCAATATGACATAACAGTAACTCGGAACAGAATCAGACTAACATTTGCCTGATTCTAAGCAAAAATCAGGAAAGACAGTCATTCTAAGCAAAAATCAGGAAAGACAGTAACCTAAACAGCATATTGTTACTGCTAAAATTTGTTTGGGCAACTTCAAGCTGTCACAAACAATCAATGATATATGAAGAGGATTTTGGCCTCGCGAATACATACGGAAAGAGGCTGTGTCGGTTCGTTCAATAATTAATACCTTCAAAAAACCACAACTAAATTTTATAAACACCAAAAAATACAGCGTACCTTTTTGTGGGCGGCCTGAAGTTCGTTTACGAGGCGAATGTTGTTCCGCCTGATTTCATCATTTGTCCGATTCTCATCCGAGAAATTCTCCTCCCTTGCCATTATACTTTCGCTGAGCTTTCCAATTTGGCATTTCAGTGCCATCTCTCTTTCACGGAATGCTGCCAATTCGGCACGCAATTCCTCTGTTTTTTCATTTTGCTCCTAAAAAAATGCACATATCATTTCTCGAATTCTAAGCAAAATAACTGTCTTTTTGAGAAAACAAATTCTTACAGTGAGGCGCTGCTGTGCTCGTCGCACATTCTCGCGTTCCTGGACATTCTGGGCGCAGAGCTGCTCGATTTGCTGCTGTAGCGCTGCTTCCTCTTCAACATTCTTTTGCAGCCGCTCATCTAATTCACGGGCAATTTCTGTTTGCGCATTTAATTTCGTATGTAACTCGTTCTGTTGCTTCCTGGCACGTTCCTCCGCTTCCGCATGATGCCGGCATTTCTCGTTCAGCTAAAAACTAACATAAATAGCGTGTCGACAAACAAAAACTGCGTGTCGGCGAAACAAACATCCAACAATCGAAACAGTTCTACGTATGGCCGGGTAGTCTAAAGCATACGCAAGCTAGAAGGCTGAAATTTTGTGGACATAGTCGCCAATGCGTGCAAGACCAAGAAATTGGAAATAGCATTCAGGCCTTTTCATGTTTTCACCTTACAATTCGAGAGTAACCGGCGTCAGC